CCATTGCCGGTCCCCGGTAGGGGCGCGACACCGAGGGTTGCGATCCTGTTACCGGTCAGTAAAAAAGACAAAAAAGGAAAAAAAAAAAATTTTAAAGAACAAAACAGTCCAACAGAAAAACAGGCAAAAACATTCACAGGCTGTCGGGGCCGGCCCGTGGCTCACTTGGGAGAGTGCGGTGCTGATAACACCAAGGCCACGGGCTCCGATCCCATATAGGGATGGCCGGTTCGCTCACTGGCTGAGCGTGGTGCTGACAACACCAAGTCAAGGGTTAAGATCCCCTTACCGTTCATCTTTAAAAAAAAAAAAAAAAAACATTCACAGGCTGTTGACAAAAAAAGAACCACAAATAATCATATGAAAATATGTTTACTCTCACTCTAATTAAATATGAGCAAATGAAAGTGAGAAGCTACCATTTTTCACCTCTAAGACTGGCAACACTTAGTACTAGAGGACACAGCTTGAGGAACAGGAAATTAATGCAGCCTTTTTGGAGGCAATTTGGCAACATCTATCAGGATTTCATGTATTTTCTTTAACATTTCCCCTTTAAGAAATTTATCCATATGTTCACACAAATACATCAATATAAATGTTCAGAAATATTTCCTGTAGCACTGTTTCTAAAACTGAAGACAACATAAATATCCATTGTTTGAAAAAATCATAGTACACATTCATACAATGGAATACTATGCAGCTGTTAGGAAAAATTAGGTAGATCTCCATATAAAGATAGAGAAAAGTGTCTAGGATATATTAAATTTTAAAAGTTGTTAAGATTTTAGATTTTACACATAGTTGTAATATTTTATATATTTATACACACACATATATGTCTATCCCATTTAGCAAAAAAAAAAGACAAACTTATTTTTATATATATGTATATGTTATATGTACATATATAAAAATGCACTATAGTGTGCCACTTGGGAAGCGCAGCGGCGCTCCCGCCGAGGGTTCGGATCCCACATGCAGACCGGTTCCCGCTCACTGGCTGAGCGAGGCGCG